CGTTGATATATGATTGGCCGAATTTAGGTGTTCAGGCTGACGTATAACTAACTGGAATGCATAAGAGAATGAAAACCCCCCCCACTGATTTTAAGAGAGGATTTTTTTTTTTATTTAAGATCTTTGTCTGATAAAGAGTACATTTATATACATGTTTAAGCCAGAATGATTTGACATTTAAATACGACTTTCCAACGACTTTAAGTATATAGAATTTTGATATATGCAAAATAGTCCATTTTTCTTCCCTCCTTAAATGAAGCAAAGATTTTAATTTTAGATCAATTTCTGACGTTTAAACAATCACAGAAACTCTGGAGAAGCTTCAAAGATCCACAAAGGGAAGGATATGTTGCCGGGAGACCTTCACTCCTCTAGTTTGACCTTAACAGCATCGCCTATCAAAAGTACATCTTCTATCTTACATTTCTTGCTCAGCAGTTGAAAGGGTTTTAAAATGCAGGCCTTCTAGTTTTGGAGATAATCATCTCAACACTGCGACGGTTAACCAGCTAAACCACAGCAGCTCAAACTTGTAAAGAGGTGTCGGTTTGTCGTTCACTTTATTGGGTGTTCTTGTTTACAACACAAGGATGTTAATGCTCTGAGCATTTTAGTGTGAAATTAGTCCATTTTACCATTTATTAAACACATTGTCTTATTTTGTAAACAAAGTTTCTCTCTGGATGTTTATATGAAGGGCCATTAGCATGTGAGCTGATAATGCAGCAGGAGATGAAGAAGTTTTGAGGTGCAACAATCAAACCAACCCGTAGCGCCGGTCCCGCTGCCCACGTTCATGTCGTTCTCGTCGTCAAACTCGATGCGAACTCCTTTGCCGTTCCCGGCCGAAACGCCGCAACCTCCACTGCGGCACAGAGAGATGGGCACCACGCCGTACACGTATGCCAGCATGATGGGGACTCCGATGCCTTATAGGAAGAGACAGCTGGGTGAGAAACAGGCAGCCCAAGGATTTACAGCAGCAGCCATTCAAAATGGCCCTTCCCAGTCAAATGCCAGTGGAATGGCAGCACTCATCCCTGCAACTCCCAGCAAAATCCCCTCCAACGTCCAGCCATAGGAGTGACCCCCTCTTGCATATTTTGTAACTCTGACTTCACCTTTTCACTCAATCACAGGGTCTGACCAGGAGATGACGCTTCGCTTTAGATCTTAATTTCCACAAATCATGACAGAAAGAATATTTTAGTAGAATGATTGATGTTTAAAAATTGAATCTTAGAGAACCAGCCAAAGACCCATGAAGGAGAGTGGGGAAATTTTGAATGGCTACTACTGGTAAGATACAGGGAGACGCTTGTTTGAAACAGCAGAGGATGATGCTGAGAGTTAAACAAGAAGCAGAGATGGTAGAGAGAGGTTGAGAACAGACTGACCGACAGTGACTGCAGCCACGACAGGAGACACGATGGCAGACAGGGTCACTCCGCCAGCGATCACCAGGTTCCTCTCATGCCGGGAAATGTCCTTTCCTTCGTAGCGGTTATGGATCTGACAGGAGAGAACTGTGTTGAGCTGAAGGGCCCAGACATGAGAAACCAGCTGGCTCAAAACATCGAGTATTAAAGGAAAAGTTTGGTCGTATTCAGAATTCAAACTTCTGAAAGTACTTTAAATATGGAATTATTGCATTCTGTTCAATAAATGATAAGTGTTTTTAATTAAGAGTAATTTTCATTTGAATGTAAATTACACTACTACCACCTAGAGGTGTAAATAATAATGGTTTTGTATCGATGCATCGATCCAACAGCCGACGATCCGATTCATCGGCACGTCTGCAAGAGTATTGATTCATGTTATTTTTTTTTTCTATGGTCTATTTTTATCCATTTGCTCCTAGATGTTATTCTGACTCCCGTGCTGCGGTGGCGCTAAACCTATTTTGCCCTCATACCTCGCTTCCTTTAGCCACTACCGTCATTCCGCTTGCACACACCCACTCACGTAAACACAGAGATAATATTTTTCAGTAAATGAGGTTTTCATAGGCATAGGTGGAGTATAACTTTGCTACTTCTGTTATTTTCTGTTGTTTCTCAAATAAAATGCATCACGATATTACAGCTTTCATTGATTTGTTTCAAATTTGAAACATTGTCTAGCCTGTAAGGTAAAAAAAAATATATAAAAATAACCATTTAATGGAATTGTATCGTGATGTATTCTTGAGTATCAAAAATAATCGAATAATTGGGTCAGGAAATTGCTACTGAATCAAATCGCCATGATAGGTGTG